TATATATATATTTAAAGATTGAGACAGACTAAGAAGAAGGATTGGCCATCCACTTCCGAAATGTCAGGCCTTCGAAAACCCTATGTGCAGTAGAGCACACTTAGACTATCATTTAGACCTATAGACATGGCAGTTGAAACTGAGATCTTAGAAATGGAAACACAGAAAGAGGAATAGCTGTAAGAAGACACTAGTGATTGGAACATGGACTGTGAGAAGCATGAATGTAGGAAAATTGGACATTGTTATGAAAGAAATGGAACGCCTAAAAATGGACATACCTAGGTATTGGCAAAATGAGATGGCTTGGCATGGGACACTTTGAATCAGATGATCATATGATTTATTATGCTGGGGATGAAAAGATGAGGAAAAAATGGGGTTGGTTTCATTATTAAAAAAGTCATTTCTAGATCTATCCTGAAATACAATGCCATGAGCGACAGGATAGTATCTGTACGCATACAAGGAAGTCCAGTGAATACAACTATCATTCAAATATATGCACCAACAACTAGAGTCAAAGAGGAGGAAATAGAAGATTTCTACCAACTCTTGGCAGTCAGAAATTGATCAAACATGCAATCAAGATGCATTGATAATAATGGGTGACTGCAATACAAAGATTGGGAACAGGGAAGAAGGGTCAGTAGCTGGAAAACATGGGCTTGGTGAGAGAAATGAGGCGGGAGATAGAATGAGAGTTCTGCACATTCAATGATTTATTCATTGCAGATATCTTTTATAAGAAACAAATGCAGGCTATACACATGGCTCTCACCTGATGGCATGCATAGGCATCAAATTGATTACATTTGTGGAAAGACTCAGTGGAGAAGCTCAATATCAGCAGTGAAAACCAGGCCAGGTGCTGATTGTGGGACAGACCACCAACTAGTCATATGCAAGTTCAAGCTGAAGTTGAGGAAAATTAAATCAAGTCCACGGGAACCAAAATTTCATCCTAAGTCTGTCCCACTTGAATTTCAAAACCATCTCAGGAACAGGTTTGAGGCCTTGAACACCAATGAGTGTAGACCAAATGAGCTCTGGGAAGATATCAAGAAAACCATCCAGTAAGAATGCAAAAGATCATTACAAAAGCTGAAAAAGAAGACCAAGATGGAAGAAACCCAGAAATCAAAGAGCTGAACAGAAAATTTCAAAAAGCTGCCCGGGAAGACAAAACAAGATACTATGAAATGTGCACAGAGCTGGAGTAAGAAAATCAAAAGGGCCGAACTAGCTCAGTGTTTCTTAAGCTGAAGGAGCCAGAGAATTTCATGAAATAACATATGAGCAAGAGCCTATGGTAATGAAGGAGGAAGTTCAAATTGCTCTGAAGGAATTGGCAAAAACAAGGCTCCAGGAGTTGACAGCATACCTATTGATATATTTCAACAGACAGACACTGCCCAGGATGTGCTCACTAAGTACTTATGCCAAGAAATCTGGAGAACAGCCACCTGGCCCACTGACTAGAAAAAAATCTATATTTTTTCCCCATTCCAAAGAGAGGTGACTCAACAGAGGGCGGAAGTTATCGAAAAATATCATTACTGTCACTTGCAAGCAAGATTCTGCTGAAAATCATCCAAAAACGTCTGGAACAGTATGTCAGCAGAGAACTGCCTGATGTGCAGGCTGGATTTAGAAGAGGTCGTGGTACTAGGGATAGTATAGCTAATGTTAGATGGATCTTGGCAGAAATCAAAGAATACCAGAAGAATGTCTATCTGTGCTTCATTGACTATGCAAAGGCTTTTGACTGTGTGTATCATAACAAGCTATGGCTCACTCAGAGAACAATGTGAATCCCAGAACATTTTATTGTGCTAATGTGAAATCTATACTGGAACCAAGACCCAGTTGTCAAAACATAGCAAGGAGACACTACATGTTTCAAAATCAAGAAGGGGATCCGCCAGGGATGTATTCTGTTTCCATACCTTTTCAATCTGTATGCAGAATAGATCATCTAAGACTGTGTGCTGTACGAGGAGGAATGTGGCATCAGGATTGGCTGAAGAGTTCTCAACAACCTGCATTATGCAGATGACACAACCCTGCTTACTGAAACTGAGGAGGACCTGAGGTGCTTGCTGCAGAAGGTCAAGGACTGCAGCCTCCTATATGGATTGAAGCTCAACATAAAGAAAACAAAGATTCTCACCACTGGGCCAATGGGCCGCATCAGTATGGATGGTGAAGAGATTGAGATAGTTAACAGTTTTAGTTTACTTGGCTTCACAGTCAAAACTCTTGGTAACAGCAGCCAGGAAATCAAGAGATGAATTGCATTGGGAAAGTCAGCTGTGAGGGACCTCTCAAGAGTACTGAAGAGAAGTGACGTCAGGCTGGAGACTAAGGTGCGCCTGATCCACACTATAGTCTTTGCAATTACGTGCTATGCATGAGAGAGTTGGACAGTGAATAGGGTTGATAGAAAGAGAATTGATGAGCTGTGGTGCTGGAAGAGAGTGTTGAATATACAATGGACTGCTAGGAGAACAAACAGGTTTGCCCTGGACAAGATGAAGCCGAATGTACCTTGGAGTCAAGGATTCTGAAGCTTCATCTGACATACTTTGGGCATGTTGCAAGGAGGGATACCATGTTTGGCAGAGTGGAGGGGCAACGTAGGAGCGGAAGACGCTCTATGAGATGGATTGATTCTGTGACTGGAGTGGTGGGAATGAGTGCATTTAAGATGGCTAGGTTGGCACAGGATAGTCGTAAGTGACTCGGCCCATAGCAACAATGACAAATGAGATGGTGTTTTTGAGTGTCTATACTGTTCAAATCAAAACTAGTTTTTAACCATTTTTTAACCACTCATACTTTTCGGAAAGTGTCGCCTTCTAATCTTTCCATATTCTAAGGAAATCATTCCCAGGGAGCATATAGTCTAGGTATTTCCAGGTTATGTACAATTGTTTACATATATGTTGCTTTCTACTTACTCATGGTGAAATTAGTCTAACAAATTTACATGTAGAACACCAGGTATCAATACCCCAGTATGATCTGTGAAATGAATGTTACATGATTTTGTTAGGTGGTGGTTGTTGTTAGGTGCCATCGAGTCTTAGACAGCTCATAGCGACCCTCTGAAGAAAGACCTGAGCACTGTTCGTACATAGAGTTTCTGGAGGCAAGGCATTTCGGAAGTGGATGCTGCTCCTGCTTCCCGGCTTGTTTTAGTTGGGAAGCTTCAGCAAACACTGTCCACCATGGGTAACTGTTACCACATTTGGCACATTAGTGCCCCAGTGGTCAGCATCACAGCAACGATGAGTTACCTCTTTGGTATAGGAACAACATATACAGATAGTCTCTGGATTACAAATGAATTCCATTCATAAATCTTTAAATCACATTTTATGTAACTTTGAGTAATTAGGTGCAGTTTGAATTGAGCATCATTTAGTCAAATGTTTTTCTACATGTCTGAGGTTAAGTAACATTAGAAACATTTGCCATATCCACTAAAACACATTTAACAAAATGATACAATTAAAATATAATAATATTTTTACATCCTTCACCAGAAAGCCCCATTTATTATTATAAACTATATTGTATATACCTTGAATTTTTAATGTAATGGTTTCATACAAGTTAGGACCATGGCCATATATGTGGTTGGGTGTTGCCCAAATGGAAATAGTGCATGACTATACATGGTACACAAATAAATACATACATTCATACACATTATACAACTTTTATTAGAAGGATCTGGCAGGCATTCAGAAAATGTTTAGTAAGCCATCCTGACAAACTAGAAATTTATACTTCTTTTTCTTTATTATTAGATTTTTGGTTTGGATTTTTTTGGTGGTTTTTTTTGTTTGTTTGTTTTGGTTTTGTTTTTTTAATTCTTCAATCTGTATAATATAGTTCTTGATATAAATTCAATAAGCCTTGTGAAATCAGAAGCCATTTAAGACAAGTGCCTTTCAGAGGAGAAAAAACCCAAATATTTCACTTTGGAAAATGACAGAAAAGTGTTAAGATACATTTGGAACAAAGACAAGAAATCTGTGCTTCCAGAGGCAGTCTTTTAGAGTTCTAGTTTACATATGTCACTAACTGTTTAAGCAGTACAGTTAATAGTCTGGTCATTTATGGAATGAGTTGAATTACATATGATCAGATATGGAAATTAGAGCTCTTTAGAGTGTTTTTTACTAGGAAAAAAGAATCAAGTTTGAGGTTAGAAAGTGATATATTTTTGGTTCATATTCTTAAGTAGATGTAACTCACTGGTATCACTAAGTTGAAAGGTAAGGATAAAGTTAAATGCTTTAATTTTTGCGTGCGTTGTAAAACCTAAATCACATGACAGAAAATTGGTACAGAAAACCAATATAAGACAAAATCTATAATATTTGGTAACTCTCTTTTTACCAGTTTGTCACTCAAGCCGTATCAGAAGGTTGGTTTGAATTGGCTGGCATTGGTACATAAACATGGACTTAATGGCATTTTGGCAGATGAAATGGTAAGTTGTACTCTGGGTCTTCAACTTGATATTTAATTAAAGCACACTTAAAATTTGGCATCCTGCTGTTTATTAAAGCACAGAGTATTTTCTTGCCATTAAATTTAAGGCATTCACCTAAGTTTAACTCTTCTGTTTTGCCTCTCTTTTGTTTTACCTTCTTTATTCCTCCTCAAAGGGGAAAATAAATGTTATTATCTGATTATCAGATTTATAAGGATGTGCTTAAAAACCTAAAAACTACATAGCAATGCAAATTAATGTTAATCTTAGAATCCTGCCATTTGATTGTAAATTGTGTTTTAATATCTTTATAGATATTTTTCCTCTGCCTATTTGACATAGGCTTTCTGTGAGTTAACTAAAGTATCCTGATCACTTGGAGCCCTCCCTATTTCTGATCTCTCATTTGTAGGCACCATTAGGAAATTGTACTCTCTTCCTAAAAAATGTGTTACAAATCTTAACTCTTCTAGTCGTTACAGTGTCATTTGAGAATATAATTTCTTTGTCATGTTTTAAGAAACAAACTTACTTCCATAAATTTAAACCAACTCAGATGGTTCTTCATTGGGTTTCTTACCGGTAAATTGCTCAAGAGATTTCCTGTCATTCTCCTGTGGGCTGCTGGTAGATTCCAGCTGCCAGAGAGTCCTCCCACTTTTTGGTGAGCAGTGCAATTTCCTACAGGTTATAAAATAATGTTAGTTGTAATCTCTTGAAATGTAAGAAAGCATAGTTAGGAAAGGTTAGACATATGTAAACTTTAGAGTTTGACTGTATGTTATTTTTCTGTAGCTGGTTTTTAAATTTTAATTTATGATGAATACCAGTCTTGGTATTCAACTGAGTGTGGAAACTACAGAACAGTGTCATTGATTTCACATGCAAGCAAGATTCTACTGAAGATCATCCAAAAACGATTAGAACAGCACATCAGAGAACTGCCGGAAGTCCAGGCTGGGTTTAGAAGGGATCGTGGTACTAGGGATATTGTTGCTGATGTTAGATGGATCTTGGCTGAAAGCAGAGAATACCAGAAGAATGTCTGTGTTTCATTGATTATGCAAAGGCATTTGACTGTGTGGATCATAACAAACTGTGGCTGACTCTGAGAAGAATGGGAATCCCAGAACATTTAATTGTGCTAATGCGAAACCTGTACTTGGATCAAGAGGCAGTAGTCAGAACAGAGCAGGATAATACTGCATGGGTCAAAATTGGGAAGGGTGTACGCCAGGGATGCATCCTGTCTCCATACCTTTTCAACATGTATGCAGAGCAGATTATCCGAGAAGCTGGGCTCTATGAGGAGAATTGTGGCATCAGGATTGGTGGAAGATCTATTAACAGTCTGCGTTATGCAGATGACACAACCCTGCTTGCTGAAACTGAGGAGGACATCATGCACTTGCTGCAAAGGGTCAAGGACTGCAGCCTTCAGTATGGACTGAGGCTCAATGTCAAGAAGACAAAGATTCTCACCACTGGACCAATTGGCAGCGTCAGGATGGATGGCGAAGAGATTGAGATTGTTCACAGCTTCAGTTTGCTCGGCTCCACAGTCAACACTCTTGGCACCAGCAGTCAGGAAATCAAAAAGCGTATCGCGATGGGAAAGTCTGCTATTAGGGACCTCTCTAAAGTACTCAGGAACAACGGTGTCTCTCTGGAGGCTAAGGTGCGCCTGATACAGGCCATGGTCTTTGCAGTCGCTTGTTATGCCTCAGAGAGTTGGACAATGACTAGGGAGGACAGAAGGAGAGTGGATGTTTTTGAGCTCTGGTGCTGGAGAAGAGTACTGAATGTACCATGGACTGCCAGGAAAACAAACAGATTCATCTTGGAGAGGATTAAACCAGGCTGCTCCTTGGAGGCAAGGATTCTGGGGCTTCATCTGACATACTTTGGACATGTTGCCAGGAGGGACGGGTCCTTGGAGAGGGACATCATGCTTGGGAGGGTGGAGGAACAGCGCAGGAGAGGAAGACCCTCTGTGAGATGGATTGATTCGGTGACTGGGATAATCGGGATGGGTGTGTCGGAGGCAGTGCGGTTGGCGCAGGATAGAGCAGGGTTTACGGCTGTTGTGCATAGGGTCGCTATGAGTCGAAAACGACTCGACGGCACATAACAACAACAACAACAACAACAACCAGTCTTGGCAATATTTAAGGGTTTTCTAGACAAAAAAAGGAGAAAGAGACAAAAGATCTAAAGAATACACAGTGACCAAAGAAAATTAGGATTTAACTGTTTCAAGAGATACCATATGATCCAATCATTGGTATTAAAAGAAGTCAAAGAATGCACTGAAAATACAGGCACAAAACAAGATTCCAGGAATTAGTAAAATACTAACCCTTATGCACAATTTGATATTCCCAGTGCTCCATGTCTTTTGATTTCTTGACTACTGCTACAGGATGTTGATTATGGATCCAAGTAAAATTAAATCATTGACAACTTCAGTCTTTTCTCCATCTATTATGGTGTTGTATCTTGATCCATGTTGAGATTATAATGTATATTGAATGATCTTATTGTTCAAGTTGTGTATAGGGGTTGTTTTCTTCCATTATGCTTAATCACAATCATTAGCTATATGCCGAGCAAGTAATCAGAGAAACTGGACTGTATTGATGAGAATGTGACATCAGGATTGGGGGGAAATTCATTAACAACTCTGCATATCGGTATGCAAGTAATTTAACCTTGCTTGCAGAGACTACTTTAAGTACTTATTGATGAAGATGAAGTACAGCTTTTATTATGAATACACCTCAATAGAAAGGAAAAAAATGATCACAAATGGCCCAATAAGAACCAACTTGATAAGAACAGAAGATACTAAAATTGTCAACGATTTAATTTTCCTTGGGTCCACAACATCTATCGAAGCAACAGTAATGAAAGAAAATGATGTATCATTTTGAAAAAGTCTACTGTAAAAGACTTCTTTAAAATATGAAAAAGCAAAGATTATGGCTTGAGGGCTAAGGTATATTTTCCTAGATTATGTTATTGTCAGTCATCTCATATGCATATGTAAACTAGATAGTGATTAAGGCATGCATAATTGAGGGATGTGAATTTTCATGTTGGTGAAGATTATTGAATGTGCTGTGGACTGTCAGAAAAACAAACAATAAAAGGAATATATACAAAGCAAGACTGGAAAAAGTATAGCCAGAATGCTTCTTAAAAATTGGGTGTTGAAATTTTATCTCAAGTACTTTGGGCCTGTTTCCAGGAAAAGCCACTCCCCAGAGAAGAACATCATGCTTGTTTAAGTAAGAGTTAGCAAAGAGTAGGAGGACTTCATGAGATGGATTGACAGACGCAGTGGCTGCAACAGTGGTCTGAAGCTTAGCATCAGTTATAAAGATGGCATAAGACTGAGCAGTGCTTGTTTTATTGTATGTAGTATTGCTGTGAGTTGGAACCAATGCAGAGTACATAACAATACCTGTTTTTCTCAGCAAATAAATTCACACATATATGAGTGCCATCATCAACTTCATTTTACCTTTGTCAAATGCCCAAAGTTAAACCTGTCAAAGCTAAGTTTAGGAGTTTCCTAACAGCCAGTATCCCAAGTTGTGTCATGTAAAAAGTTGACTTTTATCTGACCATACTTTCCTCCTCCTGCAATATTTTAAAAAGTAGAAAATTGTAATAGCTGGGTGATGGGGAATAAAAAAATGAATAAAATACAGAAACATTTCTTTCATGATTTCTAGTACTTAATACTTGATTATTTTTAGATATTCATAAAGTATCTTTTAAACTTTTTGTTTCAGGGGCTGGGAAAAACTATTCAAGCTATTGCATTTCTGGCACACCTCTATCAGGAGGGTAACAAAGGGCCTCATTTAATTGTTGTTCCTGCATCAACAATAGGTTTGTAATACTTGGAGAAGTATTTTACTTGGTAGTTTTTATGTAGGCTAAGCCTAAAAGTAGCTATGTATATGGAATTGAATGTGTATTTTTTTATAACCCTTATGCTTTTCTTCCTGTTTTGTATGAGTATGCATGTGTGTTTGGTTTTATTAGCAGATTTAAAAAAATCTTGATATAGCATTTCATTATACGTGTCAATGATTATAAAATGACAGTTATAAGAAAAAAGTAGTAACTTTCTGACTTACTGTTTAAACACATATTGAGTCAGAAAGGTCATTAATCTCAACTTTAATTGCTGTTTCATTTATTATCCATGACTGACAGAGGTTAGAGTACTAAAATACCTGTATCTGTGAAATCTAAGAGCAACCATTTCTATAAATAAGAATAGTCAACTTATACATATAAAAATTGATCATCTTCCCTTTAGTTTGAAGCCCCTCAAAAATCTTACAGTAATTTTATTCAGCATGAGTAACAGATTGTGAACATAGTGAGCAAAATCAGCCTCTGATATTTTATCTAATAAGATAATAATTTTTAAATAGAGCTTGTTTATTTCACAGACATCTCAGAGCAGATATAAGTAATAATCTCTTTTTTTTCATAGACAACTGGTTAAGAGAAGTTAATTTATGGTGTCCCACTTTAAACGTGCTCTGTTACTATGGTAAGAATATACCATTACCTTTAACTCTGGAAATGTCTTTCAAATTCTAAGATAACAGAAGATACAATCAGTAAGCCCATATTATTTTCAAATTCTAGGTTCTCAAGAAGAACGTAAACAAATTAGATATAACATTCATAGTCGATATGAAGAGTATAATGTAATTGTTACCACGTAAGTATTGAGATTTTATTTTTTTATGGCGGAGGGGAATGGTTCAGCCTCTAACAAATAGTAATATGTAGGAAAGTTGATAGTGTGATATTTTTAAATTTTTTTAACTTTTTATTTGAGGTTCCATTCATTCACTGATACTCTTCTCCCTACCCACCTTCCCCAAGTTCACTTTGTGGTGCATGTCTTGTTCCAGATTGTTGTCATATATATATATATATACACACACTTGCTAATTCATACCTTTCAGTTCTTCCTTTCATCTGTTTGTGTAGTGTTCATTATGTATCCTATCCTTGATTGTTTTCTTTCATAAGCACTGGAATGTTTAAGACTCAAGCATTTTTTGTAGTTTAGCAATTATGCATCCTAGGTAAGTTTTGTTGGTGCATTGTGTCATTTGACAGTGGGTATGGAATGGTTCTTATCACTTGACGGAAAGCAGACTATTATGGTAAGACTGAGAATTGTAATTTCAAATATATAGTATTCTACCAAAATTATTTGTAGTATTTCTAACTTGTAAATAATGATTAGAAATTAATGAAATCACATTCTCCCAGTGAAAAATAGGTTTTAGGATGTAAAGGTTGGAAAGTATAACTTTAAATACATTAACCCTTACTGTTTTGTGTAACTACCTGATAGAGAACGTAATGCTCTAACGTTCTCTTTATTATATAGGTTAGTTAAGCTCCATACTAACTCAGTATTTGGTTACTGTTTCTCTCTGCAAACTCCCTGTTTTGGGCTCCATCCTTAAAAGAATTCATTTCTTAGTAAGATACCTACATTTCCATTTATGCTCATGAACAGCAACTTTTATTTCTTGAATCTCTTCTGCAAGTTTAAGCCAATTGTATTATACTCTAAACAAAAATGTTTAACTTCATGTTCTTTTTTTCCTGCATCATTTCCCCTCTGCCCCTGCATCTTAAAATACAACAGTTCATGAAGAATACTAACAGTGGTAAATTCTTATTAAGTTGTATTCCTCTTGACCTTTTCCATTATCTAAAAGTTAGCTAATTATATTGTAATATTTTTTTAAATTTCAATTCCAAATTGTCATTTCAACCCTTTGTTACATACATATTAATGATTATTGGTTACAAACAAGTTAACAATTATTTTAGCACCAGCTATATTTTTAGTATTACCTACTAGATATTGGCTATTAGAAATGTGCAAACAATAATAATTTTGAACAAATCATTAAATATCACTAGGCTTAAAGCTTTAAAAATACAATCTTTGGGATTTTTTTTTTCTTTTGGTAATAGGTATAACTGTGCAATCAGTAGTTCCGATGACCGTAGCCTGTTTAGACGGCTGAAACTTAATTATGCAATTTTTGATGAGGGCCATATGCTGAAGAATATGGGCTCTATCCGCTACCAGCACCTTATGACAATTAACGTAAGAGTGGTTTTTAAACTTTTATGAATTATAAAATTTTTGTTAGTTTGTATGTGTGTGTATCTCATGTACAATATATACTCGTGGCAAATTTCAACTGTTTAAATTCTTTAACTAGTCATTTGTCACTAAATGGTAAATTATTAGTGTTTTGTTTGCACAGAAGAGAGTAGACAAGAAGTGTCTCTTTTGAGAGAAAGAAACTAATCTAAATTTTCTCTTCGTTAACAGGCAAGTAACCGTTTGCTGCTTACAGGAACACCTGTACAGAATAATCTGTTAGAATTAATGTCACTGTTGAATTTTGTTATGCCACACATGTTTAGTAGTAGCACCAGTGAAATAAGAAGAATGTTTTCTTCTAAGACAGTAAGCATACTTGGATCATTTTTTGTTTGTTTTTGGTTTTGTGTTGCATATATTCTTTAATTAAACTTTAACTAGTTGACACTTCTGTACTTGGATAAAAAGTTGGTGGTTTCTACAATCATTCTGAAAGTTTTTATTTCCAGAATCCTGATTTCTTGAAGAATGACACTTCTAAGTTGACAGTGTGTTCAGGTGTTTTGTCTATAGGAGAGGTTTAATAATTATGTTTTCTTCATTAAAATATAACTAGTGAATTAGTATAATTTCCTTATAAACAAGAATTAATAGAATATCCAGGAAGTGTGTGTATAGAATGTTTTGGAATTTTTCATAAAACCCATAAATACAGAATTAACAATTTAGAAAAGCGATGACAAATTTTATTTATAAGGATAGTTAAATTTTTTTCTACTTAGAAAAAAAGTATGGGAGAATCCTCAAGACCTCTAATTGCTCAGTATAGTATTATAGGTTCTTGAGTTTCCTGACTCACATTTTTTTTTTTCTGACTCACATATTTTTGTAAGAATTTTCTAAACTCTCCTTTACAAATTAACTTTTACTATTATATCTTCTCCCACTTGATGTACAATTGCACAATTTTTTTGTGGCCTTGCAATTTTTTTTCCCTCAGTCTTTATGTCTTAGACTAAACACAAACAGAAATAACATTAATGTTAATATATAATCTACTACATGTTTTGGTTGATGTCTGTCTAACTAATGACTTACTCATGACTTGTCATCCTGAAGTGTAAAATTATGCTTCATATTTAACAGATATCTATATCTATATATCTATATCTCTATATATCTATATATCTAGTCCCTCTGCTGTCAAGTCAATTCCATAGCATGGCAATCTTCCTTTGGGTTTAGGCGTCCAAATATTTGCAGGAGATTGCCTAGCCTGTCCCTGTCCATCAGAGTAGCTAGTGGATTTGAACTGTCAACCTTTCCATTAGCAGTATAGCACATAATGCACTATACCACCAAGTGCTTCATAGAAAGAAGGATGGATAGTAAGAGTTCGGTTCACATGCCTGTGGCAGGTTATTAGTTCTTATTCAGTCCCTGAAAAAGGACATCTTGCCAGGATGTAAAGTGTCTGGAAAAAACAAGAAAGGAAGATCCTTAACAAGATGGACTAACACAGTGACTAACATAGTGGGTTTAAGCCCAGCCGACAGGGCTGCTGCAAGTTAGAGCCTTCTTGATGGTCCCTAACAACAGCTTATAAATATAATGAAACTGCTGTTAATTTGGAATTCTCTGAGCAAATGGCTACTAATATATAATATATTGATGTCTCATATATACATATATATATAGTGTGTATATTTACATGCAGATGCAGTAGTTATTGTGTACTATAGAGTCAGAACAGACCCTTCAGTGTGTTTCAGAGGCAGTAAATCACATGGGAGTTGATTCCAGTCTTTCTCCTTAAGAGAGGCTTGTGGATTCAAACCAAACCACCTTTGCTTTGTCAGCGTGATTCCTTACCATTAAACATACAATAATAGAATTGAAAAATGTTACCAGGGAGCTCTGGTAACATTCCAGTGGTAGCTATACTGGTAACTCAAAAGCTATACCCTTGGCAATTGTAGTTCTCCAGAGGGTCCATGGGAGAAATTTTCCATGGGATTTGCAACCTCACAGAATCTGTTGGAAGGTCAGGAGTGAGTGAGTGATGCTGGATATATGGAAACTGTAAAGAGAAACATATATGAAGACAACTTGATAAATCAGGCTAAAAGACTAAATTAACATTTCTCTCTACAAAAGGTATTCCAGAATAAGAGACAATCAGTATTATTAAGAACCACTTGAGTTAGTTCTGCTTCAGAGCAACTATATGCATGACAGAGCAACCTTATGCAGTTAGTATACTTACAGTCATCAAAATGTTTGAGCCCACTGTTGAAGCCATCTGTCCATCCATCTTGTTGAGTGTCTTTATTTTGTTGACCCTCCCTGTACCATGCACGCTCTTCTTCAGGAATTGGTCTCTGCCAGTGGACCAACAAATTTTATTAACTACTTTCTCTGACTTTAGTTTATAGTGGATATGGAGGAGTCCTTCAATTCTTAGAATTAAATGTCATTTTCTAATTTTCTAATATGATATCTTTCAGATTAAAAACTCTTCCTTTTTCAAACCACATTATTTGCCATCAGCAAAGTTAGCTTTCATCATCTGAGTAATCAATTTATGACTTGTCATTAAAGTGATATTAGCCAACAGGGAAATACAGATCAAACTAGAATGAGAAATCACCTCACACTAATTAGGTGAAATGATCAAGAAAATGGAAAACAGGTGTGTTGCAACCTGGAATGAATTGAATTTGTGTGGGAAATAACTTTGATTATAGTGAGGGATATTTGCTTGTTATAGTAGTACTGTTATTATAACTTAATTGAATAATTTGTGAAAAGGATGTTCTAACATTTTTTTTAGAAATCAGCAGATGAGCAGAGTATATATGAAAAGGAGAGAATTGCACATGCAAAACAAATTATAAAGCCGTTTATTCTCAGAAGAGTAAAAGAAGAGGTAATTCATACCTACATGTTTTTGATTTCATGTATTTTCCACTTTCTTTTTTTATCTAAAATTGCTTTTCTTTTCTCAGGTTCTCAAGCAGCTACCGCCTAAGAAAGACCAAATTGAATTGTGTGCAATGTCGGAGAAACAGGAACAGCTGTATTTGGATCTTTTCAGCAGACTGAAAAAATCTATCAATAACATGGGTATAATTTGATTTTTATAATTTCTGTGAAAAATAATCCTGTATTGCTTTCATGTAGCCATTGATAGTAATAGTTCCCTGTTTTTAAAAAAAAAAATTATTGTAATTTTAACAGTAGTTTACATAAAAGCAGAATTTTCTTTTTTTTCTTTTTTTTTTAAATTATATTTGTGTGTGTGTACCGTCAAATCAGATCTGACTGTACAGGAGGAGATTGCCCCTCCTTCTCTAGCAGAACATCTGGTGGGTTCGGACCATGTTCCTCTGGGATTGCAGTGCAGCATCTTGCCACTAGGCCACCTGAGCTCCCTTTAAAGCAGAATTTTCATTCATGCATTGTTGTACATTTTCCCTCATTTCCCACTCTCCCAATTTACGTTTTGTAGGGTTTTTTTTTCTAAAATATCATTCATTGATGCACAATTTTTTCCCTCTTCTCTGCCCCCTATCCCGAGTTTTCTTTGTAATACCCCTCTTATTCTGGATTATTGTCATACATATAATGCCTAATCATATATTCCTTTTAAATAGTTCTTTCCTTCTGTTGTTTATTATCTATCCTCTCTCTTCCTAGTTTTCCCCAACCTCCATGTTCAATCATATTTTATAGCATTGTTGTTCTTGTAGTATTTGTCCTTTTGTCACTGAAATATTTCACTCAGTATAATGTCCTCCAGGATCACCCATACTGTGTAATGTTTTAAGTGTCCCATTCAATGCTTCATAGTATTTCACTGTGAGTATAACATAGGTTTTTCTATCTATTTGTTTATTGATGGGCACTTGATTTGCTTCCATCTCTTTGCTTTTGTGAGTAATGCAGGAATAAACATGGGTTTGCATACATCTGCTTGGGTGGTGGCACTGGTTTCTTTAGGGTTTATTCCTAGTGGTGGAATTTCTGGGTCAAATGGTATTTCTATTTCCAGCTTTTTGAGAAAACCAAATCCTAGTGACGTTGTGGAGAGATTGGAACCTTATTCACTGCTGGGGGGAGTGTAAAATAGTGCAACCACTACGGAATGCACTAGAGCGCCTTCCGTAGTGGTTGCACTATTTTACATTCCCCCCAGCAGTGAATAAGGGTTCCAGTCTCTCCACAACGTCACTAGGATTTGGTTTTTTCTGCTCTGATGAACTTTGCTATTGTTGCTGGAGTGAGGTGATAGTTGTTTTGATTTGTATCTCATGGCTAGGGATTTTGAACATTTCATGTGTTTGATTGCCATCTGAATGTCTCTTTTAGTGAAATGTCTATTCATAACCTGTTCACATTTTGTGATTGTGTTGTTTACCTTTTTTTATTAAGGTGCTTGAGTATTCTATGAATTTTAGATACGAGTCCCTTATCAGATATGTCATTGCCAAATATCTTTTCCCCAGTGTGTGGCTTTTTTCCTTTTTACCCTGTTGGAGAAGTTTTTTGATGTGCATAGGGATTAGTTTCTTGGTAGATCCCATTCATCTGTTTTATTCTCTTTTGGTCATAGGGTTTTTCACGATGCTTGGAAGACTGTTCATCCTGTTGATTAGGGCTTCTAGAGTTCTTCCAAGCTTTCCTCTGACATTTATAGTCCTTGACTTTACTCCTAAGTCCTTGATCCACCTTGAGTTGGTTTTTGTGTATGGTGTGAGTTCTGGGTCTTGCTTGAGTGTTCTAAAGAAGGTTTTCCAATTTTGCCAACACCACAGAGGCAGTTGTTTCCTCAAAATTTTTTTTTTTTACTAAGATGAGTATTTTTATTATCTATAGTTTTCATTTTTATACTTAATGGTTTTCTTTTTATTCTGAAATAATTATTAAAACTGTATTTTGCTTAAAATAAAGATGATTATTATAGAGTCAGTGACTAGACTTAGGGTTGCCAGTCATTCATCGTTCCACTTTTCTCCCTGCCCACCCCCTTTCTCCCCTCAATTCACTTCTTTTTGAAAAGAAAAGTTCTCATTGTTCTGCAGTCATATCCCCCCCTCCCCCCCAAAACACGTCCACTGTACTATGCAGCCTTCACTCTGGACTTCTGTTATGACAAGAATACCCATTCATATATCCCTTTTAAACAGTTCTCTCCCCCATCTGTTTCAGTGCAATATACATCATTCCTCCCCTCCTTTTCTGTCTTCCCTGAACCCTGATGTCATTCCTATGCAATATTTGTCCTTTTGTGACTGAGATATTTCAGTCAGCATGATGTCTTCCAGGGTCATCCATTTTGCATAATATTTCATAAGTTCCTTGTTTTCAATGCTGCGAAGTAGTCCATTGTGTCAATATACCAGAGCTTCTCTATCCATTCATTTGTTGATGGGCATTTGTGTTGTTTCCAGCTCTTTGCAATTGTGAATACATCTGTAGTAAACATGGGTGTGCATATATCTGCTTGGGTTAGCAGTATGATTTCTTTGGGCTAAATTCCCAGCAGTGGAATAGCTGCATCAAATGGTATTTCTATTTGCAACTTTTTGAGAAAGCGCCATACAGCCTTCCATAGTGCTTAACACCATTTTACACTCCCACCAACAGTGAAGAAGGGTTCCAGTTTCTCCACAACCTTGCCAGCATTTGTTGCTTGCTGTTCTGTTAAATTTTGCTATTCTGACTGGGGTGAGATGATATCTCAGAGCTGTTTTGATTTGCATCTCTCTTAGAGCTAGGGATTTTGAACATTTCTTCATGTGTGTGTTTGCCATCTGAATGTCTTCTTTGGTGAAGTGTCTATTCATATCCTGTGCCCATTTTTTAATTGGACTATTTACCTTTAGCTTGTTGTGGTGCTCGCGTATTTTATAAATTCTAGAGATAAGTCCCTTCTCTGACATGTCAGTATCAAATACTTTTTCCCAGTCTGTAGCTTCCCTTTTTTATACTGTTGGAGAAGTTTTTGGATGTGCATAGAGATTTGATTCTTAGAAGGTCCCGTTCATCTATTTAATCCTTTCCTGGTTGTGGATTTCCAGGATGCTTGGAAGACTGTTTATGTTGTGGATTAGTTCCTCACAGATTTTAACTCTTTGTTACAAATCAGTTGACCATAGGTAGATGAGCTGATTTTGTGTTCTCAATTCTATTCTGTTGATCTGTATGTCTGTTATTATACCAGTTTCTTTGAGCATGGTATATTCTTCCATTTCTCCAGGTCTTTCCTTGTTTCTTGTAGTTATATTTTGTAATTTTCTTTGTTTAAGTCTTTTGTGTCTCTAGTTAGATATACTCCCAAGCATTTAATCTTGTGATTAGCTATTATGATGGGGGTTCTTTAGCTCCATCTCTGTATTCTCTTTGTCACTGTGGAGAAATTCAACTGATTTCTGTATGTTAATCTTATATCCTGTTACTTTGCTGAATTGGTTGATTATGTCCACTAGTTTTCTTGCTGAGTCTTTACATATACCTCTTATTTCCTTCTTTTATTGCTCTTGCAAAAAAAAAAAAAAGAGACTTCCAATTTAATATTGAGTAGGAGAAGTGATAATGGGCATACTTGCCTAGTTCTTGTTCTCAAAGGGAATACCTATAATCTCTCTCCATTGAGGATGATATGAGGTCTTGTTTTTGCATGTATACTTTTCACTGTGTTAAAGAAATTCCTCTCTTTCTATTTTGTTGAGTGATTTAATCAGGAAAGGTGTTGGACTATGTCAGTGGCCTTTTCTTTATTAATTATAGGGTCATGTGGTCCTTGTTCTTTGCTTTGCTTTGTTAATGTGATGAATTACAGGTTTCATGTTGAGCCATTCTTGCATACTTGTTATGAATCCCACTTAATTGTGGTGAAATACATATTTTTTTATATACTGTTGGATTGTGTTGGTCAGAATTTTATTGAAGATTTTTGCATCTGTGTTTGTTAGAGATACTGGTCTCTAGTTAGAGATACTGGTCTGTAGTTATGTATTTTGGTGATGTCTTTTACCTCACTTTGGTATCAAGGAATATGTTTGCTTCATAGAATGAGTCCAGGAAAATACAGTCTCTTTCTGTTTTCTGAAATACTTCATATAAAGTTGGTGACAGTTTTTCTCTGAATGTTTGATAAAATTCACTTGTAAAACCATCTGGTCCAGAGGGGTTTTGGAGTTTTTTGTTGTTGTTGGTAGTGTTTCATTGATTATTCAAAGGCATTTGACTGTGTGTATCACAACAAACTGTGGCTGACTGAGAAGAATGGGAATCCCAGAGCCCTTAATTATGCTTGTGTAAAACTTAACTTGGACTAGGAGGCATTTGTCAGAATGAAGCAAGGAAACACTGAATGGTTTTAAATTGGGAAGGGTGTGCATAAAGGATGTGTCCTATCTCCATATCTTTTCAATCTATATGCAGAACAGATATCTGTGAGGCTGAGCTATATGAGGAGAAGTGTGGCATCAGGAATGGAGGTAGACTCATCAACAATCTGCATTATGCAGATGACATACTTGCTTGCTGAAACTGAGGAGTACCTGAAGCACTGGTTCTGGATGGTCAAGGACTGCAGCCTTCAATATGGATTGAAGCTCAACATCAAGAAAACAAAGATTCTCACCACTATGCCAATTGGCAACAGCGTGATGGATGGTGAAGAGTTTGAGATTGTTGACGGCTTCAATTTGCTTGGCTCTACAATCATCACTCTTAGTACCAGCAGCCAGGAAATTAAAAGATGAATTATTTGGGGAAAATCTGCTGTCAGAGACCTTTCCAAGGTACTGAGGAACAACGTCAGTCTGGAGACCAAAGTGCGCCTGATAACAAGCCATGGTCTTTGCAATTATTTACTATGTATCAGAGAGCTGGACAGTGACTAAGGATGATAGAAGGAGAGTTGATGCCTTTGAGTTTTGGTGCTGGAGAATATACCATGGACTGCTAGGAGAACAAACAAGTTTGTCCTGGAGAGGGTGAAACCAGGCTTCTCCTTGGAGGCAAGGGTTCTGAAGCTCCATCTGACATACTTTGGACATGTTGCAAGGCAGGATCAATCCTTGGAGAGGGACGTCATGCTTGGGAGGTTGGAGGGACAACAAAGGAGAGGAAGACCTCTGATGAGATGTATTGATTCCGTCACTGGGGTAATTGGGATAGGCATGTTGGAGACAATATTGGCAAGAGATAGGGCTTTTGTTGTACATAGAGTCAACTATGAGTCGCAACTGGATGGCACGTAACAAGTTGCTTTATTATCTCCAGTTTCTTTTCTAATGAATCTGTTCCAGTATTCTTCTTTTTTCTTCTCAGTTTGGGCAAGTTGTTAATTTCTTACTATTTGTCCATTTCCTCTAAATTTTCTTATTTTTCAAAATATTTCATGATTAGCCTTTTTATTTTATTTGGTTTTGTTGTGACATTGCCCCTTTTATCTCTTATTTGGATTATTTGTTACTTTTTTTGCTTTTCCTTTGTTAAAATTGCTAGGGGTATGTCTATAGTATTGATCTTTTCAAAGAACCAACTCCTGATCTTTCTGATTGTTTCAGTTGTTTTTCTGTTTACTATTTCATTTATTTCTGTCCTAATTTTTATAATTTTTTTAGAGGTTGTTGGGTTTTCTTGCTGTTGTTTTTCACTGTGTTGGAGATATTGGGGTAAAGAGTCAATTATCACTTTTTTCTTGGCTTTTGATGTGTTTGCTTATTGCTCTAAATTGACCTCTGACCACTGCTTTGGCTATTTACCAGAGGTTTCAGTAAGTTTTGCTTTCATTGCCATTTATTTCAAGACCTTTTTTATTTCTTCCATTTTTATTTCTTGAACTCATGTTCAAGCAGGGTGGTGTTCAGCTTCCAAATGTTAGGTTTTTTCCTTCTTTATCCTCTTGTTACTAATTTCTAATTTTGTAGCATTGTAGACCGTAAAAATACCTTGTATTACTTCTGTGTTTTTTAATTTATTGAGACTTGCTTTTTGACCTAAATATGATCTGTTCTGGAGAATGTTCTATGTACATTGAAGAAGAATTTATTCAGTGTTGTTTGAGGGTGCATTAGCCTTTATATATCTTTGAAATCCAGTTGGTTGATTGTGTGGTTTAATTCTTCAGCATCTTTGTTGAGTTTCTTTCTGATAATTTTGTCTTTAATTGAGAGTGGTTTATTGAAGGCTTCCAATATTGTTGTGTCGATTTTTTCAGTTAACGTTTGCTTTTGTGTATTTTGCAGCTCTCATTTGATGTATAGATATTCATTATAGCTGTGTCTTCTTATTCTGTTGACCCTTGAAGCACTATATAGTGACTGTCCTTGTCCTTTATGATGATTTTTACACAGAAATCTATTTTATTAGAGATTAATATTGCCACTCCTGCTTTTTTCATTGCCATTTGCTTGCTATATTTTTTCCCGCCCTTTTCTTTTTGATCCTTCTTTATCTTCAATTTTCAAGTGTGTCTCTTATAGACAGCATATTGATGCATTTTGCTTTTTTATCTCATTCGCTAGTCTTTTCCTCTTCACAGGTGCATTTAAATAATTCACATTCAGTGTAATTATTGAGAGGCTAGGTTTCAGTGCTAAACTTTTGTTGAGTTCTTTTTGGTGTTGTTGCTGGTTACTTTGGTCTATACTGCTTTCTGTGGCAACTCTGTAAGAAGGACTTCCTTAGGTATTTCCTGTAATACTGGTCTTGTTGTTTGGTTGGTTGAGTGTTGTTTGTTTTTGTTTTCATAAACTCCCTTAGTTTCTGCTTTTCTGTGAATATCTTGATCTCTCTGTCATTTAATGAACAGTTTTGCTGGAATACAGTATTCCTGGTTGACAGTTCTTTTCTTTGAATGTGTGATATATGTTATTCCATTGTCTTCTTGCTCTCATGGTTTCTGATGAGAATTCAGCACTTAATCTTATTTACTCACCACTGGGCCAATTGGCAGCATCATGATAGACAGTGAAGAGATTGAGATTGTTAACAGCTTCAGTTTGCTTGGCTACATGATGAACACTCCTGTTCTAGCAGCCAGGAAATCAAAAGACAAATTGCATTTTAAAAGTCTGCTGTCAGGGACCTCTCCAGAGTACTGAAGAGCAACAGTGTCATTTTGGAGACAAAGCTGCACCTAGTCCAGGCCATGGTCCTTGCAATTATGTGCTATTTACATATCAAAAAGCTGGACAATGACTAGTGATGATAATAGAAGAAGAATTGATACCTTTGAGCTCTGGTCCTGGAGAAGACTATTGAACCATGGACTGCTTGGAGAATAAACAGGTTCATCCAGGAGAGGGTAAAACCAGGCTGCTTCTTAGAGGCAAGGATTCTGAAACTCTTTCTGACCTACTTTGAGCATTCTGCAAGAAGGGACCCATCCTTGGGGAGAGACATACTTGGGAGGGTAGAGGGACAGCACAAAAGAGGAAGATCCTCAATAAGATAGAGTGACTCAGTGATTGGGGTAATGGGGGATAGATGTGTCAGTATGGTAGATGAGACAGTAAGGTTGGCTCGGGATAGAGCAGTGTTCAGAGCTGTTGTACAGAAGGCCACTATGAATCACAAGGTATTCGACACACATATAACATCATCAGCTCAGGTTACTCTTCATTTCTACTAGCCGCTTTCAGAATTTTCTCCTTTTCTTTGGTTCTGGCATTTGAATATGGCCTTGGTGTTTTTCTTTTGGGGCCTTCCCTTAGCTTTTTGTCTATATATTCTCTCATTCTTCATTATGCCTGGAATATTTTCTTCTAGTGACTCTTTTACAACTTTCTTGGTGCTCTTTATTGCTTTTTCGCATTCTGGGATTTCCAGTTATGTGCATGTTGTTCCTCTTGATGGTGTCCCACCTTATTCTTAGGCCTTATTCATTTTTCTTTTTCATTTTGCTTTTTGTACTATAAAATCATATTTTACTGGTTCTGTGTTCTTTCTCTTCAGCTTTGCTCATATATTTCTCCAACATGTTGACGTCATCTGAGACATTGGGCCTTACAGTCTGGAGTTGCAGAATATTGTAATCCTCTTATTGCAGTTTCTTATTTTACCAGGGTTTCTAATCCCTCATTTGTTTTATCTGCATTGTCTTGGATTGTTGGGTGGGTGTGTGTGTGTGTGTGGTTTGTTGTTGTTGTATTTGGGTTTTTCTTTTGAGTTTTTTTTTTGTTGTTGTTGTTTTTTCGGGTTGTTTTGTTTTAAGTTCCACTTGGCTTTTGTGTGTGGAATCCTGTACTTCTTGGAGTTTGTATTTCACTTACTGAAAATATTCAATCATTGTTTTTATATTGTGTCAGAAAATTTCATCAGACTTTCTGGCTTCAGAAAATCCATTGATTCTGTGTCTTGATCACTTTTTTGGGGTTACATCTTGCTTTGGTTTTGGTGTAGAGTGTGAAGTAGTCTTGTTTCTTCTGTGTCATTGCTGTGGTAGAGTTTTTCTTGCCTGGGGCTGTAGCAGGACAATCTGATGCTGTTCTAGAGGAGAGAAAGGCAGTTCATCCTGCCTGAATTTCTCTGATCCCTTCACTCAAGGGAAGACTTGCTTTAGTTGGGTAGGTCAGTACACTACAAGAAAGGGGAAGACAACTCACCCTGCCTGTAGAATCCTTTCTGGTCTTGTGGCAAAATTAGCTGGAATTGGGAGGCCAAATTCTTCTGTTCCCTTTCTCTCTGGTCCTGCAGCTAAGTTCTCTGTTGTGGATGACATGTTGTTTTCTGATTGTTTCCTGAAGACCGTTGTCCTCCTAGGTCTGTGAAGTGGTGCAGCCAGTTTCCCCAACTTTCTTCACCACTCTGGTGAAGGCCTTTGTCTCTGACTTCTGCTCCAGAACTATATTCCTATAGTTGCTGATCGTTGGAGCCTTCAGTTAGAGTGTATGGTTAGTAAAGCAGGATGATGTCCCAAGAAAAAGCACTGTCTTGACTCAATCCTGAAATTTGGTGTTACCAAAGGCGTTTGCTCCCCGTTTGCTGACTGTTGGTGGGGCTGGGGGTGCCAAAGGGGTGGTTGGGAATCAAAGGCAGTGTTACCTGCTCAAGATGGTCTTTCAATTAGCAGCCTTCTAGGTTAGTTAGTAGCTGCTGCAAGACAGGATCTGAAGGGGTCTGCTCTGAGTCTGCTGGTTGTTGGTGGAGCTGAGTGCACCAGAAGGTGATTTCTTCATTTTTAAAAACGACTTGAAATTAGATAAGTAATTTGAAAGCTTTTTGTGTAGTTGAAATATGTTGTTGTTGTTAAGTGCCGTGGAGTCGCAGACGACTCATAGCAAACCTCGATGCTTGGGTGCCTTTCATCCTCTCTCCAGGTTCATAGGGTTTCCAGAGGCAAGCTATTATGGAAGTGGATGCCACTCCTTCCAAAGTTGAAATATACTTTCAAAAAAACCCATTATCAGCTGAATTTTATTTAATGTGTATTCTTTGGATCACAGAAAAAAGCACAGAGATGTGCAATGTCATGATGCAGTTGAGAAAAATGGCCAATCATCCTTTGTTACATCGCCAGTATTACACAGCTGAGAAACTAAGGGAAATGTCTCAGCTTATGCTAAAGGTAAGGATTCCATACTATGTTATTGTTGAACTGTATTAACACTATTAAACAATTGAAACATCAAATTGTTAGACTAAAAATAAGACTGATTGATGTAATGAATTCTTTAATTCATTCTTTAATTTAAAAAAAATCCAAATAACTCAAAGACAATTAGGGAAGAGATAAGAACTATTGCAATGTGGCCTCAGGGCCAAATTCAGCCTCATTTCTGTTAGAAGTTTTTGTTATACTGTTATTATTGTTGATGCTATTGTTGGGTGCCTTCAAGTCCATATGACTCATAACAATCCCATGTACAGTGGCTCTGAAATTTGCTCTATCCTGAGCCTACTTCACTTCCTCTATATACCTGTCCTCATTGTCATAGTCACTGTGTCAGTCCATCTCATTCAGGATCTTCCTCTCTTTCATTGGCCTTCCACCATTCCAAACATAATGTCCTTTTCCAAGGATAGGTCCCTCCTGACAACATGCCCAAAGTGTGAGAAAGAGCTTCAAAATCATTGCCTCCAGAGAGCAGCCTGGCTTCATCCTCTCTGGGACAGACCTGTCTGTTCTCTTGGCAGGCCTTGGTAGGTTCAGTACTTTTCTCCAGCTCCACAATTGAGAGACATTGATTCTTCATTTTTTGTCATTGTCCAGCTCTCAGATGAATAGCAGTCAATTGAGAAGACTGGCTTTGGGCACAACTTGGTCTTTAGACATCATTGTTCGCTAGGACACTGCAAAGTTCCACATCTTTTCATTTTCTGACTGCTGGATGTTGATTGTGAGTCTAATCAAGATGAAGTCTAGCTGTTAGCTTTGTAGTGAGGATTTCTCTTTTCTTGAAGATAAATTCAATCCATATTGAAGGCTGCAGTCCTTGGTCCTTAAACGACTCAAGTACTCGGTTTAAGTGAGCAAAGTTGTATCGTCTGCATAATCCAGGTTGTTGATGACTTTTCCTCCAACCCTGGTGCCACTTTCTTCTTTGTAAAAGTCCAGACTTTGGAACACATTTTTCTTCATAAAGTCCACACTCTCCAGCATATAGATTGAAAAGTAGGGAGATATGTGTCCCTGAAGCACTCTTAATTGATTTTTAAATTTTTTTTAAAATATTTTTTATTTGTGTGTGTACCGTCAAATTGGATCTTACTGGTACAAGAGGAGATTCCCCCTCCTTCTCCAGCAGAGCATCTGGTGGATTTGAACGACATACCTCTGGGATTACAGTTGTAGCTTCTTGCCACTAGGCCACCAGAGCTCCCTAGTCTTAATTGACTTTGAGACATACTGTGTTGTCTTGCTCTTTTTGCACAAATGCTCCTTAGTCTAAATGGATTTCACATGAGCACAATCTTCTGCGATACCTATTCCTCTTAATGTTAGCCACATTTTGTTGTGATCCACACAAATGCCTTTACATAGTCTATATAACACAGACATTTTTCTGGTACTCTTTGCTTTCAGCCAAGATCCATATGACATCAGCAGTGATATCCCTGGTGCTACAACATCTTCTAAACCCACCTTGTATTTCTCTGTCAATATACTGTTCTCTGTCAACGTACTGTTTTAGTTATTTTAGGTAATTTTCAGCAAGATTTTGCTTGAATGTGATAGTAATGATATTTATTGTTCAATAGCTTAAACATTCTGTTAGATCACCTTTTTTGGCAATGGAAATAACTATGAATCTCTTCCAGTCAGTTGGCCAGGTAGTTATTACCTTACCACTCTTCATATATTGGGGTTTATTTTTCTCCCCCCTGCCAGACAGACTGGCATAATTTAAAAAAATGCTTATCTTACCAACAAAGCTTAGAATATTTACCATCTGGTCCATTGTACAAGTTTACTAATACCTTATACTTTTAATATATTTTATTTATATTACATTTTCTAAGACATAAATGAAGTATATTGCACAAGTCAAAGGATTTATATACTTTCTTCCTCCCACTTTAATTTGTCAAATATTTATTAAATTTGTCCTGATTTTCACTCCAGTTAAATTTTCTTCTTAAGTGTCTTTCTCTGAGGCTTAGTTTACAGCTTTTCATATATTAATTCTTTTACTTTCAAGAAATACAAGCAGAAGAGCTCTGGTGACACAGTAGGGTGTTGTACTGCTAACCAAAACCAAGTAATGAAAACATGGTCATCCTTACAGTGGTTTGGCTAGAATGGAGACTCTGCTTATCTTTAGGGTTCCATCCTGTTAGAATGTTGTTTTAAAAATAAGAAGAACCTTCATAGCTTACTTTGTAGATAGCTAATAAGTTTTTTTTTCCTCTTCATTTGTTTTATAAGTTCTGATGGATACTATTTGGGTTACAGGACAAAGCAAAACATACAGAAATGTGCAGGGTCTTGATACAGTAGAGAGAAATGATCAGTCACTCTTTATTACATCATCATTTTTTTTAATTTGTTTTTATACTTGCAAACATTTCTGCCTTTTTCTTCTATGACACCTTACCTTTTTTCCTCTTACAGATCCCTGTATATTCTTTGTGTTCCTATTAACCATTAAGTTATGTGTGGTTAGACGAATTGACTCAGTGACTGGGGTAACAGGGTGAGTGTATCAGAGACAATCAGGTTGGCTCAGCTTAGAGCAAGGTTCAGAGCTGTTGTACATAGAGTCCCTATGAGTTGCAAGCAACTCCCTGACACAGAAAACAATTACATTGTATTTAACTTGCTACTATGGAAACTTTTAAGGGGAAAATAAGAGAATTGTATAGTGAATTCCTCTGCACACATACTTGATACCTAACATATAGTTATCCTGTAATGTGACACTACTCTTGTTTTGTTCTTATTCCTAATCCTGCAGGGTTATTTTTTACTCATATCAAGACATAGTATTTCTTTTATAAGTATTTTAATACCTTATAGCACTCAAAAATTGAGGACTCTCTCTTTCATTATTACACTTCAGAATAGGAATACTATTTTTTTTTCCCCCTGAATTTCTTATAGGCACAAATGTTCTGCAGTTTAGGCATTTTGTGTTAAATTGATCTCAACATATTGTAAATTTTTATTTTGGAGTAATTTCTTTGTTTTAAAGGAACCTACACATTGTGAGGCTAACCCTGACCTGATCTTTGAAGATATGGAAGTTATGACAGACTTTGAACTACATGTGCTTTGTAAACAGTATCGACACATTAATAACTTTCAGTTAGACATGGATTTGATTTTAGATTCTGGAAAATTCCGAGTTTTAGGATGCATCTTGTCTGAATTGAAACAGAAGGTAAGAAAAGAGAATGGTACTTCTTCTGTATAGTCTCAGTTTCTTGATGGGTGAATTTTAGTTGTAAAAATAACATATATAAAATAAACTAACAGTTCATCTTAGATGTCATTACTTGCTTATTTTAAAAAACCTTTTTTAAAACTAATTTTTAAAGAATTTATCATTGTATAGTTGTAATAAGATGACAGATTGTCAGCATAATATGGGTAAATTTCTAACCATTTTTTTTTAAATTTCTAACCATTTAAGACTTTAAAGTAGTAAATAATATAATTTTTCCGTGGTTTTGATGCATGTGTATTTTTCTTTCCCCTTCCATAGGGTAATAGAGTTGTATTATTTAGCCAATTCACCATGATGCTGGATATTTTAGAAGTTCTCTTAAAACATCATCAGCATAGGTATCTCAGATTAGATGGAAAGACTCAAATTTCTGAAAGGTTGGTAAACGTCACTTTAAGTGCATAAAATCTCTCTCTAACTTGCCTCCAAATAATAAGTGTATGTTTTAAATGTGTCAGATCATTGTTAAATTGCTGTCAATGTTACTTTTGGTTTTTAATTCAAATTAGTAGAATGAGGAACATTTTATCTTTTTTCCCCCTAAATCAAATCTTATTTTAAAATAACTCTTGAAAAATAGGAAGATTTGGTGGCATGTTCGAGGTCATCAAGCTGCTCTGAAGGAGAAGGATGGGCAATCTCTTTCCTTGTGATTAACTGCCTCTGAAAACCTGCCATAGGGTTAGCAGTGGGTTGGTTCTGACTCTGTGCCATACAACAACAGTATGGTGGCATAACTCATAGCAGTTGCACTACTAAACCCAAGGCTGTGACCCTCTGTGCTTTAAATCCACCAGCAGCTTCTCAGAAAAAAGACAGACACCCTCCTCTTGTGTGATTTACAGAGTTGTAAACCCAATGGTAGGTCAGCATTATGTCCTTTTCCAAGGACTGGTACCTCCTGCGAATATGCCCTACAGGAGTTTCACCATCCTTGCCTCTAAGGAGCTCTCTGTACTTCCACCATGACTGACTTATTCTTTTGGCAATTCTTTAGCCATTACTTCTCTCCAATGCCACAATTCAAAGACATTAATTCTCTTCTGTCATCTTTATTCATTGTCCACCTTTTCAATGCATAGGGAGAAATTGAAAAGACTATGACTTCGTCTGGTGCATGTTAGGCTTTAAACTGAAACCCTTGCTCTTTGGCACTTTGAAGAGGTCTTAGAGAGCAACGTTTTCAGAGTGCAACACATCTTTTGATTTCTTAACTGTTACCGTGGGTGTTGATTGTGGATCCAAATAAGATGCAATCCGTGACAACTTCAGTCTTTGCTCCCTTTATCATGATGTTACCTATTGGTCCAGTGGTCAAGATTTTTGTTTTCCTGATACTAAGATGTAATCTATATTGAAGATTGTAGTCTTTGATCTTCTGCAGAAATGTTTCAAGTCCTCACTTTTTCAGCAAGCAAGGCTCTCATCTGCACAGTACATGTTACTGATAAGCCTTCCTCCAATTCTGATACTGCATTCTTCCTCATATTGTCTGGAAATTATTGGTTCAGCATACAGAGTGGTTAAGTTTGGAGACAGAATACAACCCTGACACACACCTGTCCTGATTTTAAACCATACAGTGATCTCTTACTTGGTTTGGACAACAGCTTCTTGGTCTATAACTTTCTCGTAAGCATAATTAAGTGTGGGATTCCCATTCTTCTCATGTTATCCATAATTTGTTGTGCAGACACTCTAGTCAGTCAAATCAAACACAATCTAAAAGCACCTTATTAAACTAATGTTGTTGTAAAATCTTTGACTTTTCAAATGGTAAAAGATGTTAAGTTTTTTTCAAAGTAAGTCCTAAATACTATCTAAATACTATGTTTTAAGCAATAAGGAATGCTTTCTCTACTGCATCAGATTTTTGTTTCTTTTTTTATCAGTCTGTGTAGGACTTTTTGTTTTGTTTTGGCTTGGTGGTTTTTCAGTGTTGCTGAATTGGCTCCAACTCATAGTGACTATATATACAGCAGAACAAAACACGACCCTGATGCTATGCCATCCTCACAAACACTGTTGTGTGTTGTGCTTAAGCTCATTTTTGCAGTTATGTCAGTCTGTCTGATTGAGAGTCTTTCTCTTATCTCATGGCAAGCTTAATGTCCTTCCTCAGGAACAGGCCTTTCCTGGTAAGTGTGAGACAAAGTCTCACCATCCTCATTTCTAAGAAGCATTTTTCCTATGCTTCTTCCAAGACAGATTTGTTTATTCTTTTGGCAGTTAATGGTCTATTCAGTATACTTCACCAGAACCACAGTTGAAAGGCATCAACAGTTCTTCAGTATTCTTCGTTATTGAACTTCACATACATGTGAAGAAGCTAAAAGGTCTCTCTTATCCTGCCAAATGGCATTCTTGCTCCTGAGTACCTTAGTGGTCCTTAGTAGCAGATCTGTCCAAAGCTATATGTGGATTTAGGTGTTGACTGCTGCTTCCAGAAGTTTACTTGATTATCTATCTATTATGTTTTATAGTGGTCTAATTGTCAGAATTATTTTTATCTTGTTGAGATGTAATCCGTACCAAAAGATATAATCTCTGAACTTCATTTGTACGTATATCAAGTCTTCCTTTTCAGCAAGTGAGGTTGTGTCATTTGCATACAAATAATTCTGCAAGATAACACACTAATAGTTTGATCTTTAAATTGTTCATTCTTTACATGCATACTCTCCCAGTCACTCACTGCCATGAGTCCTTTCATTTTTTTAAAAAAATTATTATTAAATTTTATTAGTTTTAGTGAACATTTACAGATATTTTGGGTTTTCATTCATTCATTTTGCAATGTTTTCTCTACCCTCCTCCCCAGTTCATTCTTCTTCCCCAACCCCCGAATGTCTGTTTTAATTGTCCAATTGCCACAGTGCTTGTCAAAGCCAGTTCTGATTAATCTCCTTTGTCAGTGTATCCTTTGCCATTCCCTATCACTCCTCCCTGAGAGAGACTTCACCCTGATTCATAAGGAAAAGGGGATGGCATATTCTCTTAGCTACTTCCTGCTGAAAAGGGACGCTGTAGGTTTCAGGGTGAAGATCTTCTCTCACTACTCTAAAGGGCCCCTTTGGCAGTAGGAAACACATAGACTATTATGAAGATTCATTTTGGAATTTAGATTCACTGTTATCAATTGTGCTTAGCCATACATGTTCATATCCTTGAAGATGTATCATGGAAGTGTTGCAGCCTAGAAGATACAAATTTAACAAGTTAAAAGTACATGAGTCAAAAATTAAAAAGCAATAATATTTCAAGTAGAGGTTCTAATAGTGACACAAATCAAGTTACAGAGGGAAGGTGGTTCTTAACAATATAAGGCCTATTGACTAGCACTTTGTCTATTACAGTATAGAGGTCAGGAACCACAAGATGTAGAGGCTCAGCTATGTCATTTATGGTTCTTAAGTCCTGGAGCAAATTCCATCTACCAATGGGTTGTTTTACAACTCGGAAGTTCGCGTGCAAGGTAGAGGTGAAGTAAGGAACTGCTGTGAGGTTTTCCATCCATTCCAACAACTAAGAAATAGTGAGAAGAGTTGGGACCTCAGACGGCTTTTAGGACCAATTAGTAGGCTCTGTGTCCAGGAGAAAATGAATATACTTACCAGTAATGTTAATGAATATACTTACCAGTAATGTTGATGCTCACCCACAACTCTTCTGGGAGGGTCTAAATCGTTGAAGCCATCGAGTCCTTTCTGACTTGTAGCAGCCCTACATCTAATTTCTGAGGCTGTAAATCACAACAGCAGGAGAGTGGCCATCTATTTCCTGCGAGGTCACCAGAGGATTCAAACAATTGAAGACCCATAGCCTTTCAGTTCACAACTTGCCATGAACTATGCTACTAGAGCGCCAGCTGTCACGTCAGTAACATCTGAAAAACCTATGAGAAAATAAAGAATAGAAGAGCTACCTAGAGAATTTAAATAAGATAGAATTGACCAAAGTACAGTCATTTAAAATTCAATCTGAATAGTTGAATTAACTAAAAGTAGGGAGATAGTAAAAAAAAGGAAAATGGTGTGTACCTGTCTTTTCTGTGTGACTGTGAGTTCACTTTTAATTACATTTAAAAATTCTACATTCAAAAAAATACTAAAATCTTAACACTTGCATCCTACACTTCACATAGTAGTTGTATTCTCAAAAGCATGTTAGGAGATGCATGCTTGCTGCAGTGGGAGCAGCTTTGTTCTTATCCTTTCATGCTGGCTTATCTACACACGTCATTCTACCTAAATAGTATCGAAACTGTCTTAAGCTTAGAATGATTATCTCTGTTACTCTGAAAATGTGAATTGTGCATCCATCAAACTGTAAGTTTTCAAATTATGTGTATTAATTTAATGCTCTGACAGTTAATATGCCAGAATAACTTAGTAAATTGATAAAATGTTAAATTTTTATTTTCATAAAAATAAATTTTTATTCCTTCGATTTGTACTTGTGACATTTCATGTACTATATTAATTTTACAGGATTCATCTAATTGATGAGTTTAATACCGATATGGATATCTTTGTGTTTCTGCTGTCAACAAAAGCTGGTGGACTAGGGATAAATCTGACCTCAGCAAATGTGGTTATACTTCATGATATTGATTGTAATCCTTACAATGACAAACAAGCAGAAGATCGATGTCATAGAGTAGGCCAGACTAAGTAAGTATTTTGAGTTGACTTTTCTTTTTAACCAAATACTCTACAAAGCATGACTGTTGATATATTATGAACTACAGTGTTGAATGTGAGTATCACTGTAACCTCATTTTTCATGAAATAAAATAACTTTAAATCCTTTCTCTATACTAGTCCAAAAGCATACTCCAAGTAGTTGAAGTGTAATTAATGGTCCAGCCCCTTTGAAAAAGGTAAATAATTGAAAAGACTGCTTGCTAGGGGCATTTAAGCAAATACAGACAAACCTGATATTACAGATGTTATTTTTACTCTATTTTCCTTTAGAAAATAGATAATTGAACTCATTAGAGTTATAAGTAAATACTTCATTTGATTGTTCATTCTGACATTGCTTGCAGAACAATAATGAGGTAAGAACATTACAATTTAACTCTGCTTCTATTTTTAAGCAGACAAGTAATATTTTTAATGGAGTATTTAAATATATTTATAAACAGATTTTGATATAAATTCATTTATGGACCAGATACTCATTAGTACCAATTACGAGACTGAAACTTCCCATGTAATTATTCTCTTTTACTACACTGCCCTGCTTTTTGGAACAGAATTATTTCTTTTAACCTAATAAGCAAAGCATGTTTTTGTAAACATGAACTTCCTGTATGACCACAACTTTTTGTTTTAATGTAGTTTTACCAATTTTTAATGTACTTTTTTCATTAATTTATTTCACGTTTTGTTGAAATTTTTTTCTTGAGAATGTACAAAGCAGAGTATTCAACAATTTATACATGTAGTATCGTGACATTGATGACATTCTTCAAGTCATGAAACTATTGTCATTCTTATCTTTTGAATCATTTCTTTGATTACATCATTGCTCTTTAAGGTTCTTGTAAAATCTATCAAATACTGTTGTCAATTTGACACAGATGCTCTTAAAATTGAGTATAAGGCATGCATTCTTCAGTTGTTAAGCTGAACTTGGTTTATTTAAAGAAGCCTTCCTAGAATGTACAAAGGTCAAAAATTTCCTTAGGTCAGTACTTTGAGAGTTCATCCAGACTCCTTGGCTCCAGATACGTTCGATTTTTTCCAAGAATTTTAAGTTTTAGTCTCTTATTTTCTTCCTTTTGATCAGGATTCTTTTACTCTACGTTCTATAAATGATAATGTGTTCTGGTGGCCTAGTCTTAAAGAGTTGTACTGCCTCAAACGCAAGCAATTCAAATCCACCAGCTGCTTGCACTCTAGGAAAAAGATAGGTGATTCCCTCCTGTAAGATTTACAGCCTCTGAAAACCTGCTCACAGGTCATTTAGGAGTTGGCTCAGACTCTATAGCACATCATAACCACATATATTCTTTTACAGCAGCTCATTTATTTAGTAATGATAGCCTGGCATCATCCAGGTCTTCTGGTGTCTTGCATAGCAAAGGAGATTAACAACTCCTCTTTTCTCTGTTATTCTAGGTAAAAGTTTTCTTAGTATTTTTTAAAGTACAAGTGCTTTATTCTCTTTGATTCATAGGAAAAATAATAACGTTTCATGCTTAGGTTAGGAAAAGTAGTTTGAATAAGAGAATTTATATTTTAGGACATTTTTTACCGAGTTTTCAAGTTTGGCAACTTGACAGCATATAGTAACAATATATACTTGTTGTGTATTCAAATAACTGTAAGTAACCTGTAAACTTATAAAAAATTTTTTAGGGAAGTACTAGTTATAAAATTAATAAGCCAAGGGACAATTGAAGAATCCATGCTGAAAATTAACCAACAAAAATTGAAACTGGAACAAGATATGACCACAGTAGATGAAGGTAAGTTGTTTGTAAGCAACATTTTATTTATTTTTTTTTCTTTTTTTCTTCTTGCTGATCTTCTCTGTATCGTTCCAATTTTAGTATATGTGCTGCCGAAGTGAGCATGTAAGCAACATTTTTAATAAGTATTTATCAAGTAATGCATGAAAAGACATCAGATTAGCATTAGCAAAGGGATAATAAAAATGGCTGATTCCTTAATTAACTAGTTAGTATGATGTAGGATACACATAAGCATATTCATTTCCAAAGTGTTGAAGTAACTAAGCTCTGATTTGCCAGAATTTCTACAAACGTGATTTTGGAAAATTCTTTCATACATCTTTTACTTACTCTTGGACATTAGAACATACTTCGTTTTAATCTGTTGCTTTATTATTTGTACTCAACTGAATATATAGTTTTGTGTTTCTCTGTAATTAAACAACTAGCTCCTAGGGCAGGCTTTTAACATCTGTCCCTTCAACCTGAGTTTAGCTTCACTTGTTCCCAACTTTCATTTTACTTCCATTTTATGAGCTTGTGGTTGTTGGTGTTTTCCATCTGTATGCACTTAAGTTTTCTGCTCCTTCTATTCTGATAAAGTCAGATTTCCTTCTTACATCAGCCTTTCGTCTTCCAAACATCTACCCTTCTGTTATTCTTTCCCATTTGTTTCATGTGCCCCTACTCCTTTTTTTTCCTTGCCCAGGCATTTTAATAGTGCCTGAAACAGAAGGAAAGTTGTTGTCTATGTTTAGCCAGTCATTTTTAATCCTAATTCATAGAACGACCTGTGATTCATATAAATACGTATAGTCTAAATTAAGTCAGTAATTTCCTTTCATGTGTCAGTTAAAATAATTATTTCAGCTATGCTTTTTGGCACTGCCTTTAAAATATTTCTTTCTTTTTTTTTTTTTTTTTAAATATTTCTTGTTTTTAGTTCCTTGACATTGATTTCAACTCATGGCAGAATTTCCCTGTAAGCAGACTGTGATCTTTATGGAAGCAGTCATCACGTCTTTCTCCTTTTATGTAATTGAGTATTGAACTGCCAACCTTTTGACTAGCAGTTGAGTTCTTAACTGTTGTGCCACCATACGTTTAAAAATATTTAGTTATGAAGAAATTTTCCAATTACCATTCTTCCCTTCTGTAAAAAATTTTCTTTTCCCCCCCGTAAAAATATATATATCTTTTTCCCTCAGTAAATATTTTATTTCCATGGATAAAAGTTATATAAAGGATATCTAGAAACTTTGGTGATGGCATGAGTTAAACATTGGCCTACTAACCTCGAGGTTAGGGCTTTAAACCTAGCAGCTGCTCTGTGGAAAGATGAGACAATCTGTTTCCATGAAGATTCACAGCCTTAGAAACCCTAGGAATTGTTTAAGTCTGCCCTATAGATAAGCTGTGATTTGAAGTCAGCTAGACAGTAGTAAGCACATACTGATAATCATTTATTTAATCTTAACTGTAATAATTGATTTTGTCTTCAGTTGTACACCTGATTTCATTAACTAATTTTCAGCTTGAACTTGTGAAAGTACCTAGTGCTTTCTTGCATTGAGTTCCCTTTGCTCTGTAAAGAAAAAAAAAGATGTATTTGTAATACGTGAGTGTTTTACATTAGCACAATTTGAATGTCCCTGTTGTTTGAAGCCATGAAAGGGTAAATAAAGACCATAATGACTTTCAGAGTGTTTATCAGATGGTTTCTAGTTCTTGGCTTTGGAAGAACTAGAATCAATCAATTCATTGATTCATGAAAAGTAGTCCCTAGAAAATCCTAATCAGCATTACTGTGAAAAATTGCCAGAAGTGTTAGTTTTCAAAGTCCTACTCTAGATTTGCTTAGTCAGACTTTGGAGATGCTTTTTTTTTTTTTTTTAAATTAATTTTAATGAACATTTACAGAGATTTTGGATTTCCATTCCTTCATTGCTGTACTTTTCTCCCTGCCTACTGGCTCCTCTCTTTGAAAAGAAAAAGAAAAGAAAAAAATTCCTTCATTGATATATCATTCCCCCATCCCTTCCCCCCACCCCCTACTCCCTGCACGAAGTACACTTCTCTATGCAACCTTAATTCTGGAATTCTGTGCTAACCATAATACCTCTAATTTGTTCTTTCCCGAGATGTGTGCTTTTTTAACAGGCCTGATAATAGATACTTCTGTTACGTAAATTTATGAAACCACTAAAGTGGTTCTCTATGAATCACTGCTTTCAGTTAAGGATTTTGTAGGTGTTTTGTTTTAGCACCGCTCTCCCACTTATCTCTAAATTCTTGGTTCTGACTCAGTCACATAACAACATAGAGCACATATGTTTTTCAGTACATATTGTACAACAGCTCCTAGAGCGTGTAACAGTGGCATTAAATTACATTAATAAAAACCTTATCTTAAACTTCCTGGGTTATTATAAGGTTTTAAATGGACTTAGAGACAGGGAACTTGATATTTATAAATCTTAACGGTTTTTGTATCTTGTGTGTTATTTTCAACAAAACAGAAGGAAAAAGTTTTTCTAATAATAGAGTGCATATGTATTTGCAGGAGAATGAGTAATTTTGCTGTGTTTTAGCCACATCTTATTTATAAACTCATTCATATAAAATGTTAAGTAATTGGCAACTGTGGCATTTACTAACCAGTAAATTAATAAACTTTTTATCTAAAATTATTCTGAGTGAAATATAATTGCATTGACTTTCACAGGAAGTTTTCACACCTTAGAAAACCTGCATCATTTAAGTGTCTAGTTTCTGAGGTCACATTTTATTGAAACAGAGACAAACATTAACTTTAAAAAAAAAATTTGAGTATGTAATTTAATCTTCAACTGGCGTTCTTTGCTCAAAATTTTGTTTTTCTGTGTCAAATGGATTTAAGTAGGTGGTGATGTTTTCTGGTCAAATATAAATTCATTATAATAAATTATTTCCATTTGGTTGAGATTTGGAGCTTTGTTCTTTGCTTCCCCCTTACTCAATTTGATGCATACGTGTTTTTATTTTGTAAATGTGAAGAGAAAGAAATGGTGTGAATCTTCTGTGAATTAGACATCCTAGTCTAGACTAAATAGATCTAAATATATATGCATACCCATACCCCTATATCTTTATATGTCTATATAAAATCAAAGCATAATCTATACCTTATAAAACTCAAATATGTTGTTCTGCAGTATGAACAAGACCACAGAACAAGTATCCTTAATTTATGGAGGGATTAGGAAAGATTTTATAAGAGGGAGTGACACTATAGCAACCTGAGCCTTGAAAGATAAAAAATAATTTAGCAAAAATAAAGAACATTGGGAGAGAAAATGGGTCACAAAACAAAATATTTATATTAGACTTTCACTGCTACTTTCTGTTCTGCAGGTGATGAAGGGAGTATGCCAGCAGATATAGCAACATTATTAAAAACTTCAATGGGCCTGTGAAATTGTAAATTCCTAATCCATGAGGAAATATCAACTTGGTGCACTCAAGGACATTTTCATTATGATGACCATGGGGTTTATGAGCATTTATAACTTTTTATAATTTCCATATTGCATTTCTCATAGAATGGACAACTTTTTGCCACTAACTGAATTCTTCGGATGCTTACACATGAAATTTCCCAAAAAGCCACAAATACATAGTCCTTAGATGTTGAATAATCATTTTACAAAACCGTTTTCTGAATGGGGATTAGTTGGTGATTGTTTGTAACAAATATGCTAATACTTTAGAAATGTCAGTATTTTTGTAATTATTTCTACCTCCAAATATATATATATTGTCTGTCACTGGATAATGTGTGTAGATTTTTACATGTGCCTTATTTGACAATGCTTTTGTCTTATTTTTGCCTGTCTCATTTGAGGGTTTTTTTTTAATTATGTTTAATATTACAGCTGTATAGCTTTAGTTTTATTGCTATTTGAAGCAGATGTTCACCACTGTCAGCAAGAACTCAACCTGAATTTAAAGGTGGCAATCCATATACTAACATCCCCCAGGTCCTCTCAAGTATTTTTGTTAAAGTAAATTGTTTGGCTAGGCACTAAGTTGTTTTCTCCAGTATGTAGTAACTGAAGAAGCCCTTATCTTGCTCCATGGATTAATTCCTTCTGTTCATTTTCCACCTGCACTTACTGTGCTTATTAGTCTGCCTATTTGCTTCTTGTGCATGTTTTCATTGATTTCCCTCTCTTGGCTTTTGCTTCTCTTAAAACTGTTGCCCAGTCACTTCTGCTCCAATTCTCTCTAAATAATAGCTTATTTCTGTCACTTTTCCATGCATCAGCAAAATGTCAGTGACATTTTTCTAGCTTGGCAGAGCAGATAAAGCTGTTTTAGCACAGACTGAATGTGACTTCATATTAAGGCAGCATTAGGTACTGCATGGAAATAGGTCATTAACTATGAACCCTTATCGAAATATAATTTACCCATTTCCAGAATTTCCAGTACAGGACCTCCTGAAGAGAGAGCCATTGTTCAATTCCAATTCAGTGTGGGTGACAAAGTGAAATTTAGACATTGTCTATTTGATATTTAACTCCTTTTAAGTCTTTCTTTACATTTTTGCCTGTCAGTCTATATTGCTGTTTTTATTATACATCCGTTTCTTTGTATAACTTGTGAGTTCATGTGTTTTGTTTTTATTCTATAAATATCATTATAAATAAACTTATTTATAAATCAAAAAATTTGTTAATTATTGGGAGACTATAATTTTCTAGGCATCCTTCCTTTACTAAATACTAGGCACTGTAACCCTCTGGATTCAGAAGTCAGAAAAAGTTCTTAAAGTGGTCTTGAGATATTTTAGACTCTGAAAAGAGATTTACACAGTTTTGAATGTATATAGAATATACTTCTCACTTGAAAACTGTCCAATCTGACATTTCATCTTTGTGGCAATAGTAAAAAACTCTATTCTTTGGGTTGATGACATGAGGATCACCAAGATGCTAGGCCGCCATTAACACTGGCAGTAAAGTTTAAAATTATCAGTTTGGCCAGGTGACGACTTTTAGTGGTTTATGTCGTGATGTTGTCATCCTCCATTTTGCGATCTGATGTGCCAGCCTTCCATTTTTGGATAATGCAGATTTTTGCATTATGGCCCCGTCTTTGAACCTTTATTATGCCCATAAATGAGGAGTGGATGTATGATGAATTATATTTTAGTGCAGTAGGACTAAAAAGACTCCACAAATGTTATTACTACCTCCTTTTATGTTACAGTACCCAAACAGTCAAACTATTAGAACTTTACCTTTTTGTTTCAGTATGGATTTCTCATAGATTTTTCTGTTTCAGTGTACCTTCAGTGATAGACTGTTCCTTTTGTTTTTCTTAAGTCCATGTTTTTTTTAAAACAAAATGTAGTTGAATTCTCCCTATAATACTCTTACCATGTCTTGGGCCTAATAAATAAAAAATTGTGATCATTAGTTGTAACTTTTCTTTTTCCTCCGTTTTTATCATTACTACCTCTCTCACCTTTAACCTTTAAAAACACAATGTTGAGCACAATAAGATCAGATTGTATTCAGTATTGTTTCTGAGTAAATTGAAATTCTTTAGCATATGTTTTCAGTAGACTCTCCATTGAACTGATGTCAGTAAAAGCATCAGTGAGGGAAGAAAAAAGTCATAGTTTTCATTGTAATAAGTGGTTTCCTATTTATTCCTGGTTCCACAGGCTTTCCTCCTAATTTATGCCAGCAGATATTTCTTTGCAAACATTTTATTGTTTCTAGCAATTGGTATTATATCATGGAGAGAGGGTAACATCAGGAGACATGGTTTCATGCAAGACACTTCACCAGTCTATCCAAATAACGAACTCTCCCTCAAGAGTATGTGTGATAGTAAATGTGAGGTACAGTTAAACATCTATGCCAGTTTATGTTCCCTTTCTCTTCTCTCTCTCCCTCTTTTATATTCTCTAAACAAGGAGATATTTGAGTACAGGATAGAATAATTAGAATAATGGGTCCTTATTTGCCAACACTGTAAGATGATGATGCTAAAGTTATGTTGTTAATATGATTAAAAAAGATGCTTATGATACTGCATTTTTAACTTTGTGATTTAGGTGGGTCTGAGTATCTTGTATTTAATTTCCATAATTTTGCATAAGCATTTTATTTATCATTTTAAGTAACTTCATTAAAGTTTCTCAGAATGTAATTATGTAACAGGAAAAGTTATACTTTCAACATCTAATATATTAGAATTTCTTTTGTGAAAGATATTTTTTCCCTCTATATTAAGACTGCCTTGATAAAAGAATAGATTGTTTTGCAGTGAGATTTGCATACAGTCTTATATCAGCCACACATGAAAGAAAATAGAATTCAAACAAGCAAAGTGGTTAGGAAACACACTTGCTTTTATGTGTTAAATTTAGTAATTTAGAAAATATTTAATGTTTCCTCCCCCCCCCCCCCCTTCAGAAAACACTGATGGGTGGAAAGAGGCAAAGCAAGATCAAACCTAGTTGTACTTTTTTCCTTTCAGTTTTCTTTCTTCTTCTTCCACCCTACCTCACCTTAACAATATTTTAATTATAGTGCTATTAACTTTCTTATTATTGAGTGTAGTATTAACTAAATGAAAAACTGAATGAAGTTATTGTACACTTTCATTTAAAATAGGGAGCTCTGATGACTTAGTGGTAAGGAATTGCACTGCCAACATGAAGGTACGTGGTTTGACTCTACCAGCCATTCAACAGGAGACATATGGGTCATCTCCTGTACAGTTAACTGCCTGTGGAAGCCAGCTGGAGGATTAGCTACGGATCCATTCACTTATTGGTCCACAACTACTGCATTTTAAAATAGAGGGAGGTGTGTTGGCTTGGTGGTAAGGAGTGTGCTGTCAAGGCAAAGGCACTAGTTTATATCTGCCAGCTACTCAGATGGACAGGGGGACAATCTCCTGTATGCTTTACTGCCTCTGAAAACACTGGAGGTTCAACTATGAGTTGGTTCCAATTCGAAGGAAGGCATACAACAATTTAAAGCACTGAGAATTAGTGTTGGTTTTTTGTTTTGTTTTTAAATCTATATGAAGATTGGTTTGAACAGTGCTTGCCTGTGTCTTTGTAACGTATTTGTATTCCCTTGTTGCCATTGAGTCAGACTGACTCAGATAAGCCTCCTGTGGGTTTCCAAGTCTGTAAATCAACCCAGAGGAGGTTGCCCGTCTTTCTCCCTCAGAGTTGCTGGTCAATAAGTTTGTAGCATTTTATCCTTTTTGCTTTTTCAGTAAGATCGTTTCCTTTAATGTGAAATTTTTGCAAGTGTCAGCCTCCTCTGGGAGTTTATCTTTTTCTCTTTTTTGGTCACAGTTATTTTGTTGTTAGGTTTCCTTTAATGAAACTTTTTTTTTAATTTAAAAACACCTGTGGCTGTAATATCAACATTGCCATAACCAACTATCTCTTTGAGTCAGTTTATGCTCAATTTGAATGTCAACCATATTATATTATCTTCCCCCCACCTGCAGTTCCCTCTTTGAATTGTTCATATTTTTAAAAGAGAGGGGTTTTCAGTGGTTAACAGTGAGACAGCTGAATTAATTACCTGCTTTACTGTGTAAAACCATGCACTGACAGAAGTACCATGGTTAGTCATGCTGTGTGTCTCATCTAAATGGAATATGAACTGAAGAATTTGCAGCAGCCATATACTTCATTGTAATTACATCTAATATGCTGTGGTAACAATTCAGAATCATTCAGTTGGGAACTGGTGTTTAACAAATCCATGATAACTGAAATTCACACATTTATAAAGGATATGAACATGTTTTGAGAAAGATTAGTAACTAAATGTTCTTTGGCTACAGGTTTTTAAAAAAGAGCATTATAGAAAAAGTGAAAGTTTCTGAAATGGTATATGATGTGTATATGTTATCTGACATTATGGTGGAGCTGATTTATCCAGTAGAAGTGATGCTGTAAAAAACAAGAAGATTTGGAGGCAGCATGTATCACCTAGATTTTAGTTGGAGGCCTCCGTAGTATCCAATCAGCAATGGCAGGAAGGGCTTGGACTTTGTTTTTTATAGCCACTAGCCTGGGATGGATGTCCAGCAAGTCAGGTTTGAAGACCAAGAGTGTGGTACTGCAGATATCCCAGTAGAAATCTGCCCAGGTTACCTATTGAAAAGAAATAAAAATTAACTTTTTCTTTTGCTATAAAAGGTATCACTGTATCAGCATTCTAAAATTAATTACTTCTGAAAGAACAGGACTTCAACAACTAGGAACGACAGAAGAAGGTGGGTACCTATAATATTACAGGTAGGTCTCAGGTGGCAGGTATCTAAAAAATTGAAACAAATGCAAACAACTAGTAATAATTGGAACATAGAATGTATGCAGTATGAATGTAGGAAAATGAAGTCAGAAACAAAATGGAACATTTGAAGATCAAGATTCTATGCATTAGTAAGCTGGTGAACTGGCATGGGCCACTTTGAATCAGATAGTCACGAACTACAATGCCAAGAATGGAAAACTGAGGAAGAATGGTGTTGCATTTATAACATTTCAAGATATAACATACAATGTTAGGATACTACCCATACACATACAAGGAAGTCCAGTTAATATGACTTCATCTACAAAAAGGAGGAAGCAATTAAGAATTACTACCAAATGTTGCAGTGTGAAATTGACCAAATACACAGCCAAGATGCATTAATAGTGGTGACTGGAACACACAAGTTGCAAACAATGAGGGAATGGTGGTTGGAAAGTATGGACTTGGTGACAGCAATGAGATGATGTTAGGTGCCCTCAAGTCAATTACCACCATAGTGAACCTATGAACAACATCTGAACTCTGTCCTAACCTGTCCCATCCTTACACTTTAGACACACAAGAGTCCATTTCAGCAATCACTGTCGGTACACGTGGTTGAGGGCCTTCCTCTCCTTTGCCAACCCTCTACTTTTCTGAGCATCATGTCTCTCTCCAAGGAATAGCCCCTCCTGGCAACATGTCTTAAGTGTGTGAGGTGAAGCCTCATCATTCTTGCCTTCAAAGAGGACTCTGCACCTTCTCCAAAACATAATTGTTCTATTGGCAGTTCTTGGAATGTTCAGTACTCTTCCCCAGTACCATAGCTCAAAGGCATCTATTATTCTTCTGTCATCTTTATTCACTGTTCAACTCTTAGATTTATAACAAGTGATGGAAAAGATCATGGCCTGAATCAGACACATCTTAGTCCTCAAGCTGACATCATTACTACTCAATAGTTTGAAGAAGTTTCAATCTTCTCCATCTGTCATGAGATTGCCATCTATCATGATGTCCAGTGGTAAGAATCTTTGTTTTTGTTCCATATTGAAGGCTGTATTCTTTGATCTTCTGCAACAAGTGCTTCCAGTCATCCTCACTTTGTAGCAAGCAATACACTTTGTGTCATCTGCCTAACAGGTTATTGATGAATAGACTTGTCAATAGATGCTCTTGTATTTCATCCAGGACCCATCAGACATCAGCAGTGATATCCCTGGTGCCAAGGCCTTTTCTAAATCCTGCTTGAACATCTAGTAGTTCCCTAACTGTGTACTGTTGTAGTCATTTTTATATGATCTTCAGTATTTTGCATGCATGTGATATTAATGATGTTTTCCATAGTTTCCACATTCCATCACCTCTCTTGGGAATGGGAGCATGCATAAATTATCTTCCAATCTATTGGCCAGAATGCTGTCCTCCAAATTTCCTGGCACAGACTGGTGAGCTCATCCAGAGCTGCTTCTGTTAACAGAAACAAATCAACTGGTATTCCATCAATTCCTATGGGCCTTTTTTTTTTTTTTTTTTTTTACTGGTACCTTCAGTTCAGCTTCCACTTCTCCTTCATTACCACTGGCTCATATGGTACTTCCTGAAATTTTTCTTTGTCAGTTCTTTTTGGTACAATGATTTTGTGAATTCTATCCATCTTTGATGTTTTCTGCTCATTCAATATATTGCCCATAGCATCTTTCAGTATTGTGACACAAGGCTTAAATTTGTTTCTCAGTTCTCTCAGTTGAAAAATGCAGAGCGAGTTCTATTTTTATTGTCCAATTTCAGCTCTCTGCACATTCCATTATAATACTTTGTCTTCTTGAGCTGTATTTTTAGAATCTTTGGTTCAGTTCTTTTTTCTGGAGATAACAATGATTGGATTTTGTATGCTTGAAGGTTTATTCCTAGCAAATATCGTTTTTTAAAAATCCACTGAAAGGGATTTTCACCTTTGGACCTCACCTGGTGGACTGCACAGGAATCAGAGTGACTATATCTGCAGAAAGAATCATTGGAGAAGCTCAATATCAGCAGTCAAAACCAGGCTAGGTGCTGGCTGGAGAAGACTATCAATTACTCATGTGTATGCTCAAATTTAAACTGAAGAAAACCAAAACAAGAATAAAAATTCAACTTTGAGTCTATCTCACCTGAATTTAAGAATCATTTCAACAGATTTGAGGCATTGACCACCAGTTATTGAAGACTAGAGGAACTGTGGGAGAACATGAAAGATATTCATGTAGAGAGCAAAAGGTCATTATAAAGACGGGGGGGGTGCAGGGAGGGGGAATAGATGTCAGAAGAGACTGATAATTTCTGAAGTAAACGCTGAACAGATTTCAAAAGGTAGTTTAAGAATACAAAGAAATGTACAAACAGCTGGAATCAAAGACTGAAAAGGGAAGGATTTGCTTGGCATTTCTCAAGTTGAAAGAAAAAGTCAAGTTGAAGTACTGAGAGATATTATAGGCTAAATCTTGAATGGTCCAGGAAGCGTGAAAACATGATGGAAGGAATACAGAGTTACTGTTTGGAAAGAATTGGTCAACACTGAAAAATTTCAGGAAGTACCATATGAACAAGAGCCAATGGTAATGAAAAAAGTTCAAGCTCCACCGAAGGCATTGACAAAAAAGGCCCCAGGAATCTATGAGATACCATTTGGCATGTTTCAACTAACATGCAACCCCAGACGTGGTCACCAGTCTATGCTAGGAAATCTAGAGGACAGCTGTTTGGCTGATTGAAAGAGATCCAAATATGTTCCCATACCCAAGAAAGGTAACCTAACAGAATGTGGACATTATAGAACAATATCATTAATATCATATGCAATTCCATATGACCCAGCTATTCCATTGCTTGGAATATACCTCAAGAAAATGAGAACTGAGGCTTAAAAAGAAACGTGTACACCAACATTCATAACATCATCATTTACCATCATAGGAACGTGGAAACAGACCAGATGTCCAAACACAAATGGATTGAGAAATTGTGGTACATTCATACTATGGAATACTATACACCACGCAGGAGCAATGATTTTGTAGATAACTACCTAACTTGGGAGGGACTGGAGAGCATTATGCTGAGAGAACTCAGTCCCATAGGTACAAATACGGTATAAAACCATTATTGTAGAATGAGTATGAGGATCCAAGGTGGGTGGAGTAAGGTGCTGGAAATAGAGGGGTGAGGATAGGTGAGAGGGTAGGGTGTTAATCGAAGGATTGCATAATTTGATGGGTGGGTGGGGTGAAGGAAATGGGAAGAATCTTTTGTGGAAAACAATCCATTCAAAGTTTGTGAATAAAAAAATTTCATATTCAAGCAAATATTTATGAAGATCATCCAAAACCAGCTAGAGCACTGCATTCACAGGGAAATACCAGAAGTTCAAGCAGGATTTGGAAGAGGCCATGCACCAGGGATCTCATTGCTGATGTCAGATGGATCTTGGTTGGAAGCAGAGAATGCCATAATATCTATATTTTCTTGATCATGGTAAAGGTATTTGACCAGATCGCAACAAACTACAGTTGGCATTAAGAAGAATGGGAATTCCAGAACACTTGATGTTGTTCTGGAACTTGAGCTGTTTGAACTGAGCATGGTTTATAATCTGGAAGCATGTGTGTCAGGGATGTGGCTATTCTTTCTTTCTTTGTATTCAATCTGTATGTTGAGTGAATAATTCATTAGGCTTTATTCTGTGAAGAGGATTATGGCATCAAGATAGGAGGACTCATGAACAACTTGTGTTACACTGGCACAACCCTGCTTACTGAAAGGGAGGTCTTGAAGCACTTACTGCAGAAGATCAAGGACTACAGCCTTCAGTATGGATTACTTACCAACTCCAAGAAAACAGGAATTCTCAGCACTGGACTGGTAGGTAACATCATGATAGATGAATAAGAGATTGAAATTGTCAATGGTTACATTTTGCTTGGATCCGCAACCCAACAGACCAGGAGATGTATTGCATTGGGAGTCTGCTGTCTGAAACCTCTCCAAAATACTTAAGAACAATGTCAGTTTGAAGACCAAGGTGCACCTAATTCAGGCCATGGTCTTTGTGATCACTTGCTACACATCTGAGAGTTGGACAGTGAATAAGGATGACAGAAGAAGATGCCTTTGAGTTGTGGTATTGGAGAAGAGTACTGAATAGCCATTGGAGTGCCAACAGAATGAACAGGCAAACAGGTAATGTCTTGGAAAAGGTGTCACCAGAGTGCTTCTTGGAGGCAAAGATGGCAAAACGTCACTCATACTTTGGGCATGATGCTAGGAGATGCTTTTCAAGGATCTATCTTTGGTTGTTGAGTGTGTTCTTCCTAGGCAATTTACTGCCACCGAACACCCACTGGAGGGTCAGCAATAAATCAGGTTCGATTTGAGGGTACATAACAACAAAATTTCATATGGAGGGATTTTCTTCTTAATTACAGAATGTATTTTATGACTATAGGTAAAAAATGTTGAAGGTTTAATTAAATAAGAAAGGTAGCTTCAATCTCTGCTCTCATAGCATGTCAGTACCACCATATGGGAAACACTTTTTTCCAATACGTTCTTACAACTTCTCAGTTTATCATTTTCTCTTAAAACCTATTGGCTCATTTATTTTTTTAAAAAAGGTAACACATACTCACAGAGTTACCAACAAACCATTCTTTTTCTCCTAAATATGTGTCCAAATCTTGTAGAAGATTAGGTGCATCATGTGTGAGTAGCTCGCTAAAAATCTTTTCCTAGAAAAAGAAAAAGAAAAAAGAATTACTAATGGAGCTCTTATGGAATCCAAACTTTCTGGAGCCATTTTGGCCAGGTGAGTCCTTGAAAACAATTGTTCGGAGAGAAAAACTTTTGAACTAAACAATTGAACTTAAGAATATCAGCCTTGCACACTGTGCTAATTAAAGATCTAAATAAGATCAAATTGTTGTTGTTGTTGTT